TGCCTCTTTTGAATGATGAATACACACTACCGCCGCCTGCTGGTAAGGAGAGTTATTGCCACTCACGCATACGCGCAGTTCATACGTGCTCAGCTCGGATTTGCGGTGTGTTCCAGTGCGCGAAGTCGGCAAATACGCAGGAGAGTCCGGCGACGCAACAGTCGGTGTCGGCGACTTCTCAGGTGACTGGCCGGTGTATCTGGGCCTTTACTGCCTCCAGTGCCCTGTAAGACGAAGCCAGTTCAACAGACCCTGGATATGTTTGATTTACCCGGCTTAACTAACCTTAACAAACGCGATCTTGCTAAGCGGTCCTACGAAGCTGGTTATCAACTCAGTAAATCAACCAGGGTTTCTCTGTCCGGCTGAGAGCGCGTTCACGTGAAAGTGACGGGGTTAGCGTGCTGACTGCGCAGCGTCATACTTCATGAATGAAAAGTAAATAGCAAATCCTGCTTCGTAGTACAGGCCACTGGTGTCACAGAGATTTCATAAAGTGAAGGAGGTTTTCCTTCTATAAAACAGCTGTGGGCAGCAGATACTGTGAGAGTCACGGACAGGAATTCATAGATCAAAGCAGACTGGTTTACAGACTCTTCTGTTTTGCGAATCCGGTGCTTAAACAAATAGCTCTAAACCCCTGGGCAAAATGTCCCTAAATGAAGTCCGAGTTTGAAATAAATCTCAAATAATGTATGCACTGCCATTTCTCCACATAAACATAACAGTCTGCAAAGAAACGGTTGTCTCCTCTGTGCTCCACTTCCTACTTGGCGCACCAGTAACTTTCTCGTGCGAATGAGAAACTAACGAAACGAGAAAGTATTTTGTGCGCACAAGATACTTTTCTTTCTCTCCATGAACCTTTAGGGCAGGGCTATTCAACTTCATTAGCAAGTGGGCCAAATAGGAAAATCACTGGGTGTTTGTGGGCCACACAATACTTTGTCAAGGAATCACTACAAATAACTCTTGCTTACAGTAGTGTTAATAGATACTAATACATTAAATGAACTAGTGAAGTGCATCCCTTTTTTTGAATTTAATTGTATCAACAGAAATCATTACAGAAAGCAACCAGTCCATAAAAAAGTAGTAAAGCTTCGGTTACAAGGCTTGGCACAAAAGTTTTTCTTTAAAACTAAGGAGACATCAGGTTTTTTCCCCCAACAGTTCCATGTCCACTAATGTACAAAACAAGATGAATATAATAAAACAGTATTCATCACATTAAAAGTAAGTAGCCCAGTTTTATAATCCTCAACACTTCCAAGCATACATAAGGTGCTTTGTAGACAACACAAATCCATACAATGTAATACTAAATACAAATATAACATAGTAAAACAATAGCCATCAGACTCACAATAACATTCATATCTTGGAAACATTTTTACAATTTGCAAAACAGTAAGTAGGCGTGTTTGAATGAGCATAAAATGAATGACCATAAAAACTGACCATGCATCATACTTCTGTCATGTTTAGCCTGTTTGAGTCGGTGAGAGAAATTACACTGCCTTGATTTAGCTATTTCAGCATAGTTTGGCTAATAAGTGGTAAGAGCAATCCTGAGACACTCATGCAACTTCTCATTGGTCATGGAGGATGGAGCGACGTGCCCTTGTTTTGATGGCATTCATATGAGAAAATCGCCATCAGTGACCAACAGGCACACTTTTTTTAAAACCAGTTGACGTTTTTTTTAAAAACGAGATTATATTTTGAAAGATAACATCACCTGTAGTGTGTCCCTCCAACGAAATAAGCCCCAGAAGTTCTTCCCTAAAGCGAACTTCATCGAAATACCTCACATAGATGCACAGCTGGGCCATGTCAGTACAGTCAGTTGATTCGTCCACAGCGATTGATATAAACTCTGCTTTTCGAAGGTTTTCCAAAAGCTTCCCCGACCCATCCTTTGCAAGTAGTTCCACTCTGCTAAGTGTTGTTGTGTCTGAGAGATGTTCTTTTTTAATGGCTGAAGTGACAATGTCTTTTACTTTTTGGTCAATAGCCACTTCATCAATGACAGCAAGCATAAACTCTTTAACGGTCTCCGCGTCGGTAAAGGGCCTCTTCTGTCTGGCTAGTGTCCAGGCTACTCGCAGGGATGCTATTGTAGCTCTCTCTTGTTCCGTGCAAAATCGACTAAAAGCCACTTGACTCCGTTCAAATTATTCCAGCAGTCCCTGTACTTTCCTTCTCCGTTCCTTTGAGCCCACGGGAAAACTGGCAGAAAACGAGCCATGATTTGAGTTGTAGTGTCGCTTTACGTTGTANTTGAACTAACTTGATGACAAATGATCTGTCGCCATGGCAGCGGTATTTGATTTGGTAACGATGCAGCCATCAAAACATCTAAGCTTATTATGGGGCGTCATCAAATACCGCTGCCATGGCGACAGATCATTTGTCATCAAGTTAGTTCAATAGTTTGCAGTTAAAATATTCTGCTGCTTTTCCAAGCTTTTTTACTTTCTTTTCTTCTCTCATCACACATTCAAGCCCCCAGTGTTCATGTATCATTTCAATCTAAATTCTTCACTTTCTTCTTACACATTACATTTCAGAATAGCAATTCAGCGTCAGCTTTTCAGCATAAAGCATTCCCACTAGCAATTTCTTCAGGAATTGCATTCTCTAGTTGGACCTGATGCCCGAATACTTATATTAGACACATCAGACTGTGTTTAGGTAAGATGATGCAGGAGAGTGCCTGATTTCTCAAAGGTGAGGTCGAGGTTTAACTGTGAACAATTGTAAACCATTATTTGAAAGATTTAAAAGCTGTAAACCCAAAAGTAAGTGAGAAGATTGTAGAAAAGTCTACATTTTTTGAGAATTGTACAAAGTCTTTAGAAATAAACTCACAAATGGATTTGAGCGGTTTTGGTGCCCGCTAAACCTTACCAAGTAAGACAAAACGAAAGAGAGATCTGCCTCCCTAACTGTGCTGCCAACCTCAAGTTTAGATTAGATTAGGTGTAACTGTCTTATCATTGCAAATAGTACAAGTTCTGAGGCAATGAACCAAATACTGGTTCACAATTTGAAATTCAGAGCAATAATATAGCAGTAGACAGCTATTTTACCACATAAAATATATTGATGAAAACATTAAACATTGTCTTGTAATCTTGTATTTGTATACTTTGTTTAGATATAGGCCTATGTGTGGCTAATAGCCACTGCATCGTCTCGGAAGAATAACACATACTGTAGATGCAACATATTTAACCTTTGTTGAAAAAAAAAAAAGTCCAAGTCCCAAAGATCAGTGCTAATATCCACACACAGTTGCAAAAAGATTATTAGCATCTTAATAGTGTTGGTGCTGAAGCAAAAAAGGAGTAATTGCACTCAAATGTAAAACTTTATGAGAATATGTTCACTTTTAATATCATTAGCACAATATATTTTATTAATCAGACCCTGGAATTTGGCATATAGTGGTAAGTTATGGGTTATGGGTTAAATCAATGCAAGTTATGGTCTAATTCAGCAGAAGAAACGATGCATTCTTGATGTTGCCCCTCTGTCTTTACAAGCTTACTACAATTATTCCTTTCACAATTTTATCACATCCTATAATGACAGTTTATTGCTGTGTTTTTGCAGATTTTAATGAAAAAGGGGATCAGAAGTATGATGCTCTACTAATGAGCAATGTGGTGCCAATGTACCCCGAGTTTAAAAGTAAGTTACTGGTTATATCACGACATTACAAATTACAGGCTTCCATACTGTACGCAACTCAGATTTTTTTTCCCTTTAATTTCCGCTTTACTTTCCTATTTTAGAGATCTGGGACTACTTTCACAACACCCTATTGAAGAAATATGCATATATTTATAACAGCATTAACGTGGTGACAGGACCCGCCTTCGATTACAACTACGACGGACAATACGACACTCCAGAGCAGATCCAACAGTATGTGAAGTTTCTTTTTTTTATGGAAGTTAGTAATATTGCAGTTTAATTTTTTCCGGAACAGACAGCCTTGATTTATGAACCACTGTGAATACTTACTTTTTTTTCCGTTTAAATTATAAGAAGGGCACATGAGGTCTTTGTTCTGATTTTTTTCAACTCATGTCCTGTGTTCAACTTAATTGGTAATGATTATCTTATGAATTACCTTAAGCACTGGGTTTGAACCGTTTTAACATTTTAAATTGTTTTGTTACCATTGTAACATATACACATATACAAAAAGAAGTGTCCTTTGGTGTTTCTCAGGGAACCTGTCATGGTCCACCCTTTTTTGCAATATGTATCCTAACTTAATGTAATATCATCACTTGATATAAATTAAATGTAAACCAACATTGCTTATGATGTATGCTTCATCACTAATACCATGAGCAACAGACTGCAGACACTTTAAAAAATGGTCAGAGGCTAAAAAGATTTATTTTTCTTCTGTTGGTCAGAGCCAATGACAGCCAATGAGATGACCCTACACAAATCGTCTATTTTAAAAAGTTGTACATTTCCAACGAATAAGACTGTGTTTTTATTTGACTACAGGTTTGTGTCCGGCACAAACATCTCCATCCCCACACATTACTTTGCAGTGTTGACCAGCTGCAAGTTCAATGAGCAACCTGTAAGCGAGTGTGCTGGCGAGCTGCAGAGTGTTTCCTTCCTGCTACCTCACTTATCCCACAACTCGGAAAGCTGCAAAGTAAGGAACAGCAATGTTTAAATAACCTTTTTAAGATTACACAATCCTCCTCTTCCATCCACCTCACATTACACCAGACAGATAAACTGAAACTCTTTGTACGGTTCAGTCCGAAACTGCCTCCCTTTGGCTGCCTTTCATGATCCTGAACAAAGCAACAGTGTCTTCTTTACCCATGTGTAACAGTCAATATGTTCCCTTATACTGACACTCAGGAAGTTCATTTACTGTGAGGTAATGAAAAGACCAAAATGAACCATTGTGTCTGTAGTCCAATCTTTGCCATTTATTACAAAAAAGTTTGTCTTTGAATCCAAGAGTGATTAAATAATTGTATGAAAAGGTCCTGATTACCTGCTAGTGCTACACTGATTTTGACATTAATTTCACCACAAAACGTAGGTTTCTAGAGGCTGTGTTTGTTTTGAGGTAGTGTTAGAGGTGAGACCAAAACCAAAGAATTAAGGAGGGTTCATCCCTTTGGATGCATAAATGTGCTTCATTTTATTTCTAAAACCTTTTTTCCACATGAAATTCTACGGTGGCCGACAGGTACAAACACGCTACAACGACCCGAAACACTCAAAAACAATGCAAATATAAAGACAGAAATGTACCAAAACACATGAACATTTTAAAACATCTTCTCCAACAGGACAACATATGCGCAGCATTTAGAAAACATTCACCAACATGACGAAACATGCTCAGGGTTTACTAAAAGTGCTGAAAATGAAGAGAATGCTGCAAAAAACTCAAAACATAACGTAAACAGGGACACTAAAAAGTGACACACACAGCTGGGACTGCAGTGCTTGTTGACCTTCAGCAGTTATAAATTGGCCAACTGTCACTGTCACTGGAAATGTACCTAAAATCTTGTGTTGGCTTATTTCAACAATGTCCTTGCATGATTCCTTATGAAATTATTGCAGATCTGCTGCAAGCTGGAAAGCTAACGTAGCTAACCTTGTCATTTAAAATATACTGAGAAAATACTTACAATTATGAAACAGACTAACTCTGAAACAAGGACAGTTGGCCAACTCTATAATCCCAAACAAACTCTCCAGTCCGAGCTATGTGCATCACTTTTTAGTGTCCCCGTCTCCGTTGTGTTTTGAGATTCTTGCAGCATTTTTTTATTTGCAGCGCTTTGCATTTGCAGCATTTTGTTGCAACACTAGTAAATCATGCGCATGTTTCAGTAAATTGGTGGATGTTTTCTTAATGCAACGCATGTGTTGTCCTATTGGTGAAAATACTTTCCTCATTTGTTTTTTTTTGGGCACATTTGTATTCATTTATTATCATCGTTTTTGAAACTGCAGCGTGTTTCTCCTAATGGAAATGGTTTGGGCAGTTATAATGCGTTTGCACCTGCCAATCACCGTAAAAAACACTTACACTTATACTCACATACGCATGAGTTTAACATTCATTTCAACCTGTGAAAAGACAAAAAAGACACAAGGCTAAACACTAATATTAAACTTATATGTTGAAAGTAAAAGCAAGACAAATACAATTAAATCATCATCAAAGGATATAAAAGGTAATTACAAAGAACACAAACATATATAAACAGTATGTGAATAAACATTACTTCTCATTCCAGACATCATTGCATTTGGGAGGCAATAAATTATAACTCAAGCCCCACTAATGTGACATAAGGATACACAAAGAAGCCTAGACCGTTCAGAGTATTTCCATCTCTGGTAGTCTTGCAATACAAGTCAACAAAATGCAAAGATCTTGATGATTTATTGAACAAACCGATTGGTGAAGATACATTTTGTTCATAGTGAGGCTTAGTTGACTAACTAGCCCTAGTAGATACAGTACAGTACTACAGTATGCCAACTCTAGCCTTAGACCGTTCACAGAACAGGAAGCAATGCAAAGGAAAAAAATGTAACTAACACAGAAGAAAGATATATTTTGGCGACACATGATCACAAACCTACAGTGAAACTTCAATTGTTCACTTTTCTTTTTGCACCGATAGAGTACAGAAGCCGAATCTCAATGGGTGGAAGACCTCATGTGGTTCCATCAGGCACGACTCAGAGACGTTGAGTGGATCACAGGATTGGACTTTTACCAAGAGAGCGATCGACCAATCCCAGAGCTGCTAAAGGTGAAGACCCGCCCCACAGCTGCTATTCACAGAAAACTATAAAATTGCTATTTTCCCACAGAGAAAACACCGGGATAAATATATTGTACTGTATCTGCTAAAGTAATGTAGTGAATAAATAGTCTTGAATTACGCTATCACTTTGTACTGAAGATTTGTGAGTGAAAATGCTTATTTAGTGGGAATACTGATACATCATTCCAACTATATGTTATTCAACGCACACAATTCTTTATTATTCCGCTGGGTTATTTTGCGCCTCTTCTTCTCCCACATTCCACATCGCAGAAACTCAGTTTAAAGATCAAAACGTTCAGCTCGGTCGGGAATCGATGGCTATTACTTTTCTTATTCATAACTTTCATAATTCTAGAGATACTACATCCCATAATTCATCAAATGTTTAACATTGAAGTCAATGGAGAAACCCTTCAGATGTTACACATCTTTCTGACATTATTCATGTTAAAAAACTTTTAAATCTGATTCATACTTTTAGAAATATTAAACATTGTTCAGACCTTGGTAAAGAGGCCTTCTTCAGATTTTAACATCAGTGTGTATTGAGCAGCTCGTTAAGGTGTGTGATCTCAAAGCTAGAGTGGATGACAGCTTGAAATTCGCCTTCATATATATATTTTTAAACCTGCCATAATTCCCAAACCCTACACTCCTGAGACATAAGTTGTCATGAAAAACGTAGGAAAGCATCTCGTAGTTTCAAAAATGAAACAAAATTAAGCAAAAATAATTAAACAAAATGCCTCTTGAGGGCATGAAGTGACAAAAACGATCAACATGTCTCCATTAAAGCCAATTGTAAATTCAAGCTGATCTTTACTCACAGCATTAGCTGCAGACCTTTAGTTAATCTGCCAAAAAGGCCACATTATTAACCCGAAAGTACACAAAAAGCACCCTTCAGATGCTCAACTTCCTTCAGATGCTTCACGCGTTGAAATTTCACCGATATCTGTCACGGTTCTTCACATTCACTTCAAAACGTTCACATGTAAGAGGTTTGTCTCTCATTCAGAACAATGAAAAGGGTCTCCTCTCACTGATTGCTACACATCACCATGGAAACCTTTGATCTATGGACACATCCGTTACTTGCAAATATCCAAACAGGCCTGGTCATGGAATTATCGCGATGAGTCAATTGAACTCCAACTGACATGCCGGAGCAGGCAGACTTCCAAGGCATAAATGGGTAATGGCCAGCCTTCAAAAAATGGTCTATGTGCCTTCGCGGGAGTTTCCTCAAAGCGTTGCCCATGGCAAACGCAATCTCTCCTCGCTTTGCCTTGAAAACACGATATTGGCGTATATCGACACCTATGGACATATGGTCAAAAAGTGGCTCAAACTTCAGCATAGTGTTGCAACAGTCGGCATGGCCGTCGAAGACCACGATCAATATTTGACAGTTTTTAAGATTCTTTTCAAATGTCCGTGTGGCCTTGGCACACCGAAATACGCTCACTATGAAACACGGCTTTGCTTCCAGAACCTATCAGTTCGCAACGAGCCGAAATGCCTAAACTTCACAGGTTTGGTAACGATGCAGCATCAACACATCTAAGCATATGTATGGGGTGTCATCAAATGCCGTTTGCCGATGGCGACAGATCATTCGCTATCAAGTTACTTCAAAAGTTTGCTGTTCAAATATTTGCCTGCTTTTCCAAGCCTTTTTACTTTATTTGCTCTCTCATCAACACATTCAAGCCCCAAGGTTCATGTATCATTTCAAATCTAATTCTTCACTTTCTTCTTAACATAAGTTTCAGCATAGCATTCAGCGTCAGGCTTTTCCAGCATAACAGCAGTTCCCCTACGCGCATTTGCCTCTCAGTTAATTGCGATTCTCTAGTTTATTTGTAATATTGAATCGTATTATGTTTCTCTTCATGATTTTTATCGTATGATTTATTTTAAAAAATCATGACAAGAGGAAAATAATTACGATTTTCAATTTACAAATAAACTAGAGAATGCAATTACTGCAAGAAATGGCTTAGTGGGAATGCTTTATGCTGAAGCTGACGCTGAACTCTATGCTGAAACTTAATGTGTAAGAAGAAGTGCAAGAATTTAGATTGAAATGATACCATGACACTGGGGGCTTGAATGTGTGATGCGCAAGAAAAATAAAGTTAAAAGGGCTTGGAAAAGCAGCAGAATATTGTTGAACAGAGCAAACTTTGCAAGTAACTTGATGATATGCGATATGATCTGTCCGCCATGGCAACGGGCATTCTGATGGGACACCCCATAATATGCTAGATTGTGCTTGATGGCCTGCCATCGTTACCAAACCTGGTGAAGTTTTAGGCCATTTCGGAGCATTTGAACTGAAGTTTGAGAAACCGTGTTTCGATAGTGAGCATTGTGTTGCCAGGCAACGGGCATTTGAAGAAATCTTAAAACTGTCAAATAGATGTCTTCTTACGGCTTGGACTGTTAGCAACATCATTTGTGAAGTTTGAGCACTTTTGACCATTGTAGGTGTTATAGCAACTATCGTGTTTTAAGGCGAGGGAGCGTTGCCATGGCAGCAGCTTGTTGAGGATGAAAAACTCCCAAGGCACATACGGACATGGGGTTGAAGGAAAATAGACACATTAACCATTATCCTGACAGTCTGCTCGCTCTGAGCATGCTCGCGTTGGAGGTTATGGACCAATCATCGTGACTTCCATGACGACAGAGGTGTTTGGACCGATGTGTCCAGAGATCAAAAGTGTTTCCATGGTGATGTGTAGCAATCAGTGAGAGGAGACCCTCTCAGGAGTTAGTTAGCTGACATGAGAGACAAACCTCGGCTTAATGCACTAATGTCAGCGTCTGAAGTGGATGGTGCAGGAAAAAGATATCCGTGAACGAGATCATCGGCGCATTGGAAAATTTCAAAACGCCTACTTGTGATGGGTGGCGTCCTGACAGTGGAAAGTTGAGACATCTGAGATGATGGCTATCTTGGTTGCAGAGTGTTATTGATACTTGGTCTGGGAGAGAGAGGGCTAAAGTCTAAATGTGGCCTTTTGTATGCAGAAGTCTTTCTTAAGCTATAAACTTGGTTCTGCATTGCTAGATACATGCTTGTGCCAAGTAAAGATTCAGTCCTTGGTAGTACCATCTTGATTATACAATTGGCCTTCAAGTGAGGAGAAGAAGGAATGTTCGACCGGTGTTTTTGATCACCGTTCATGGCATGAGAGGTCTATTTTTGTATTAACATAGTTTTGTCTTTAATTTGTTCATTTGTTTGAATGGCTATACAGAGAGTACGTACTTCCTACCGTTTTCTATGTCACATTATTTGTCCTCTATGGTAGGTGTTAGCCATGGTTCGGAGAAATTTTGCGAGCAGTCTTTACCTCAGAATCCAAATAACAACTATATATGATTAGGCAGAACTTTCTTTGTCAAGCGCAGTATATCCAGATCCACTCTAAGCTTGATGAGAATCAACACACACACTTCATGAGACTGTCCTTTCTTGAATCGAATAAAATACACTCACTGAATGCTATATAAACTTGTTAGGCGAAAGGGTTCTCCATGGAAGATTACCCAAAGGCTTTGATAAGGTAGTCAAACTGAACAATGTTTTGTATATTGCCTATGTTCTAAAAGTATGAATCCAGATTTTAAAAGTTTTTTAACATGAATAATGTCAGAAAGATTGTGTGTAGTGACATGACTAGATAAAGAGGCGTTACGTCCCGGTTATGAGGTACGGAACAATTGGTAACACATTTGAGCACGTGCCAGTATATAATGGACTCGATCGTTATCTCGATATAAGATCTACATGAATGTAGTAATGAATAAGACAAAAAGCATGTTTATCCGATATCGAATTCGATGGCACTTACGCAGACCCGATGTTATCCATTTCATTAGTAGCTTTCTTTGTTCCATCTGGTATATCGCTTTATACTCTGTCAACTGAGTTTCTGCGATGATGGAGTCACTGTGCAGAGAAAAGAGGCGGGAATATAATCCACAGCAGGAGAGTGAGCATATATAAAAGATAATTGTATAACTGACTAAAGTGATTGGAAATGTGCGTGATTGGAATAAATCATAGTCAATCTGTAATAGAGGCCCAAAATAGACATGGTACTACAGCTAATTCCCTACCATAAAATCAGAGCAATTCGAGGCCCCACATTAAATCTTCATAGTAACAATAAAGTGGCAACTGATTATGTGTATCATATGATCTTATTCAGCTATCTGCACATTACTCTAGCATCGAATGGAAATACTCTAGTAAAGTCCTTTATCTAAATTTAGTTTATATTATAACTTGTGTATCCCGGTGCTCTTTTCTCTAGTGGAATAATATGCAGCTTCTTTTATAGTTTACTATCGCTGAATTAGCAGCTGTGGGTAATGGTCTCTCTCTCTACTATGTAGGTCCAGCTCCATGGCACATAGGATTCAGAAGTGCGCGTACTTCTTGAGTAAAAAGATCCATGTATGCGCTTGAATGTCCTACATCCACACCATGCTCGTGAAGTCTGTACTAGACACTTTGTTTGAACTCAAATCTCTGAGGTCTGCTATTCCAAAGTTCGATTCGAGCTCTTTCTCTGTTAACTATCTATCTCCTCGCTCAGCCACAGGAGTGAACAAACATGTCTTTGAAGTTCAACTGTAAGGGTTATGTTGTACATATGTGCTCTGTCAAGCAGGAAGTAGGGGTCGTCTTCTGTGTGGAGGTTGTACATGTTTTGTCCTTTGCGAGTGGAGCAGACTTCTATCCTGTTCTGGTGAACATTTTAGGCCTTTGCAGACCAGGTCTAAAGGCTAGGTTGGCATACTGTAGTGACTGTACTGTAATCTTTATTAGGGCTAGTAAGGTCCAACACTCACAAGCCTCAACTATCGAAACAAGCAACTGCTATCCAATTCAACACCAATCAGCGTATTTGTTCAACACTAACATTATCCAGAATCTTTGAACTATTTGTTGAACGGACTCCTGTTTTTGCAAGTACATACCATGCAGAGAATGGAAATACTACGTGAACTAGTTGCTGCAGGTCATAGTGCTATTGCTTTGCTGTAGTGCCCTGTTACTTGTCTCTATGGCAATCTATTAGGCTAGGCCT